ATTACTTTGTTCAGCATGGGAAAGGTTTTTAAAACGAAGACTACTGTTGTGATGTCTTCATAATTTATCAAAAAGATTTACATTTCTAGTGCCACAGAGTGTTCTTTGTGGGTTCATTTGTCAATGAGTATTAATTGGTTGAATCAAGATTTGTTTTTCTGAAATGCATGCCATTGAGCTAGATGCTATGAGCACTTACTCGCTATCTCAAGAATCTCGCTGTAACAGAGTATATTGGTAGGGTTGCCATGGCCTCTTTATTGTTCTGGATTTCTGCCAGAATACTATAAATAGCTGAAAAGGCAAGTGGCTTACCATTAGGACAGTTACTTGTGGGTAGGCTTGCTGAAAGTCGTTCCAGTTTGTTGCAGAATGAACGAATAGGCTGTCAGGGTCTCTTTTTTTTTTTCTTGTTTGGCTTTGTAGTTGCTCAGTGGATATTGCCTAATAAAAGGTTATTTTTATGGGCTATTAGCTTTGCAGTGTTTGGCATTGTAACTATATGTGTATGTATGTATTGTTTTCCATTATTTAGATTGTGGTAACTCCTGTAACAAACTGATTAATTTCAAACACCTGTGGATGCAGTCCCTCACTTTAATCACCCTCTTTTCTGCCATTCTCTTGCTAAAAGCTCTGATTCTGATTCAGCATAAAAATTCTATGGAAATAAGGCTGTAATTTTTCCCATTTTGACTATTTTAAATTTCCCTCTCCCCCCCAAAAAAAACTGTGGTGCAGATGTTAAGTTTCTGTTCCTGATAAGAAGATTCAGATTTGGAGAGGCTAATCAGAAATTTTTATTACTTTTGTCTGAAGTTATCTGAAATTGGTAATTGTTTTTCCAGTTCCCTTATCTCTAAGAGGAGGAAGCTAAATTGTACTGGCTTCCACTCCAGTGGCTTTTTTCTGTTACTGGACAGTAATGTGTCAGCAGCAACATCACTATGAAGCTAAATCTGCATTATAATCTTCTTTATGGCAGACATATAGGTCATTATAACTTTGAAAATATTAAGCAAGAATAATAATAATGAACTTTGAAATAAGTGATCTGCAAGCCAGACTACGCAGTTCACTTCTGCACACAGAATGGCTTTGGTGGTGACGGACTGATATTCTCAGTGACTGTGGCATCTGACAGAGAGGAACAGTAGCACTGTCCAGAATGGTTAGCAATGGAGAATTGCATGAACCCGCAAGGAGATAAAAAATTAGAACTGTAAGCAATAAGGAAAAAAGTCAGATAAATGTTTGAGAACCTCAATTCTGACTGCTATGTAACCTGTGTACAAAATCGTAATGATATTACACCATCTGTCCCTCTCACCAACCTGGTAATGCTGTTATGTGTATTCTGTCATTTTGCAAACAGAATAAAATGATCTCATAGTAACTTTATCAGAATTTTTTTTTTTCCTCTTAGCTCTCTTGGGTGCTGATCACCTGGTTCTGGTGACTTCTAGTGTTCCACATTTACTTCAGTTTGACAGATCTTCCACCAAGTCTGCTCTTTCCCAGTCTCACTCGCCAGAAGGGCTTTGGTATCAGTTTTCTTCTGTAGTGACCCTTGATGTAAATAATCTATTTAGATTTTTTGCAGTACCTCCAACCTTTCCTTTTATGTGCTGTCGTTTGATTCTACTTGCTTTTTGCTCCCGGATGATAACTAATTCCGTAAGATAATTGTTCTTCTGACTCTGATTTGGCCTGCCTAGTTAAAATCTTTTGTACCTGCCTAATTAGAATTTTTTTAATCCAGTGCAATCTAATTTTGGAATATGCAGATAGAAAGATGCAGTATTCATAAGAATGTAAGTGCTGCTTAGTTAATATCTTTATCTAGGGGTGAAGGGAGAGTAAATGTTGAGAAGAAATGTCGGCCAACATGATTGATCTTAGGGCATTTATTTTGTGTATTTTTTCATGGCATCTGTTAAAGTAGAACTTCTGTTGATGTTGGGAGTTTAGCAGTTGTAAATGAGACATAGTTTAGGCCTTATAAAGGTGAATTGTATGGAACAGTTTGTAACATTGTGCATGTGCCACTGCGCATTTGTGTTTATACAGCTGAAGTAACTGGAGTTTTTGAGGAAGTTGTGGATATCAGTCATTGATTAAAGCAGTGCCAACGAGTAGGAAAAAATAGCTTAAGAAAATTGCCTGAGCAAGTGTTAGGACATTGTTCGTGTTGGTGATTACCAGCTTGTTAATGAGCTGCCTAAAGACATGAGAAGACCCTTAGCAGGAGCCACCAACTTTAAGGAGAAAATCCTTGTCATAAAGATAGGGCAAACTCCAGTGTTGCTGAGATCTCTAGTGTTTCTAGATCTTGTGCTGTAAAAAGAAACAAACAGGAAATGAACTAAACCTGCATTTCTAAATTTGGCACATAGCCTTTAGGAGAGGGGGGTTTCAGAGTACTACAAGTTGGACGTTTCTTTTAAACAACATAAGGGCAAGGTGAGAGAAATCAAATGCTCTCTTATGATGCTGTTTGACTTTCACGTAATTGGATTTAACTTTAACCAGAAAAGTTCTGGATTTAACAGAAACAAATGCTCTAAATAAATCCTTCTGGTATTAAGCAAAACAGCCAGACACACAGCACAACTAATTCGTAGTTGGTTAAATTGAATGTAATCACTTGATTACTCAGTACTGATCTTTATGACAGAATCTGTCCTAAAATTTTAAGTAAAAGGTTTTTATGATGTGTCTGGTTCACTGGCTGTATATTGTAATTAGCACATTGAATGCAAAAAAAGACAATCTTTGATTTAAACTCTGATACATGATTTCCAGAGGTAATAGTTCTTATAGTACGTGTTGTGGGGGATGGGACTTGAGTATGCTGCTTCTCTCTGCCCCTCTCTCTTTTTAAATCTTCTACTATCCAAGATTTTTACTGTTGCTTACAATGACTGTGACTGATGATGTCATTGATGAAGCACCAGATAAAATCTAAAAGTGGAAGTTCTAGCCCAGCATGGTCAAACACCTTGTCAGCGTGCCATAACATACAGCAGAAAGAAATGTTGTATTTCCTGATTTCCTGAGCAAAGTAAATTGGCAGCATGCTGAGAAGTTCTCCCAACTATAAACATGTCTGAGTAGAGCAGAAACGGATTCCAGTTGTCTGCAGTTCATGGTGGTCAGCGCTTGAAATCTGACTGTTGTGGTTCATGAGAAATTGCAGACTCTGTGACTTGGAGACTTTTTTTTTTCCCTTCCCTTCTTGGACCCCAATGAAATTTCAGGCAACTGTTAACTTTAGTATTTGTCCATGTATTGTGTAAGACCTCATTGCAGCTTAGTATGCTTTGCCAGTTAGTACTGTTCTTGATACTAAAAAAACAAATACGTAGCATAATACAAGTGACAACTTGAAATATTCTGTGCATTCAAATAAGATGGGTGGAGGATAGAAAGATACTGGAGGACTCTGCCTTCCAAAAGTGGCAAGACTGTTAAACTGCTGCACCACTTAAAAGGGAAGAGCGAGAAGAAAACTGTGCACTGTAGTAGACAGCATTATATTTCTTTGTCGGCAGTGTCCTCTTTTTCATTAAATGACAATACTGATAAACATCAGTCAGTTCAATCTGCAGTTAATGTGTCAGAACTTTAAAAAAACAAAAACAAACAAAAAAACCCAAAACCCAAACAAAAAGCCCCACACTTGATTCTTCTGACTGTGTGATTGACTGAGTGAGAATCTGGCAACCACTCAATTTAGGCAGCTTCTTGTAAGCACACCTGAAAAAATGTTTGAATTTTAGTTAACCCATGTTGTTAAACACTCGTATGATAAGCTTCTGTTCATCCTGTTCTCCTCTTCTTACGTGTTTGAGGTTTGTTTGTAAAACAAACTGTGGAGAACATTGGTGGCGCACTTAAAAAAAATGAAATGCTGCAAGGTGACAGATTTTTGAAGAGCCAGTGTTAGTAATGAGAAAATGTAATAAAGGGCCAAAATAAAATAAAACATGTTTCAAAATATTTTAGCTTGATGTGAGATCCTGTGTTCCAAGTATTTCCTTAATTTTTCTGTGCTATATGAGAGGTTTTTTATTAGCTGGTTTACTCTAGGGAGTTCAGGATTGTTCTAGTGAATCATCTTTTGAAAGGCTGCAGGCAAGACTAGTATCAGAGAGATTCTCAGCAGCTTCTAGATTTTTAAGGATTGCAGTGATGTCAGTGTAGGTAATTCTAATGCCCTGCAATAGATCTAATGCCGATCTGTGTGAGCTCTCATACCCCAAACAGTAAAATATTTCTAATGAGAGTTGTGGAAATAAAGGCTTTTGTTTTCTGGTAAAATTAGAAGTGCAAGGAGGAGTGGAAAGCTTTCAGAGGCCAAAGGGACTCAGATATGGAACAGTGGATGAACAGTAGGGAAGTTCTTGGAACAAGCATGTTTAGGGGAAAAAGTCAGCTCAGGATTTTGGTTTCTGTTCCCATTTTCACTGTTTTCAATCTGTGTTTGGTTTTAATGGTAGATTGAAGTATATGGTACATGAGCACCTTGTCCAGCTCACCCTGCTATGTATTTTTTTGGTCTTAGTTTAGCAGTTCACACGTAACTTCCATTTCAGTGAACTTTTCTAGTATTGTACTGGCTTTATCACAAGAGGAAATGCGTTTAATGTTGTGCTTGAAGTTGTTTCATTTCTTTTTCAACCCCGTTCTGGAAATTCTAGTCTAACCAGATCAGTAATGCTGTTTCGGTTTTGGCAGCTAGAGAATGGGAAGTAACTTTGCCAGCATTGCTTATGCTGAGTTCTGCCAGGTGACACCGCCACCCTTTGACTTGTAGCGTGTAAAGATTCCCCTTACTGTTCTGCCGAAGGAGAGATGATCTCACCCTTTCACAAATCATTCAAGTTGTCATTAGGTTATAGAAGTCATGGATTGTGTCAGGTGAAGTGTAAAATGTTGCAAGAGAGAGTCTGCTTTTTTTTTTTTTGAAAAATGAGTAATTTCTTTTTTTTTCACAGGTTCTTTAAAGAACTTGAAGCAAGACATCAAAACAACATCTTCATTGATGATATTAGTGATATAGTTGAAAAGCATACTTCTTCAACATTTGATCCATACGTAAAGTACTGCACCAATGAAGTCTATCAGCAGCGAACACTGCAGAAATTACTGTAAGAACTAATTTTAAAATATGATTGCAAAATAACCCCCTTTGTAGTAGGAGTGAGTAGTAGGCTGTGGTATTTCGTGCAAACCCTATGGCTTCCAACTAAGCATGTACTTACATGCATAGCTTTCCTTAATGTACAAGTTCCTGTGAAGTAATTGAGAGTGAAACATGCCTGGCTGCATACTCCAATCCTATTTGTGGTCATGTGTTACACTCCCTTTCCACTGATAAGTACGGTTTAATCAATGTCAAAGATGTCCTTTCATTGTATGTTACTTATCAGTCTGATTGCATTCACGTTCATGTATGGGAGAACTTGAGGCTTCTAAATGTCAATACTGGTCTTGCATATCTAAGTAAATAAAGCTGAAGGCTTAGTTGATATGACTCCTTCAAACCACACTTTCCTATCAATAAAATAATGATTTATTTAAAATCTAGCAACTTTCTTTGGTAAAACGTAGCGTTTAATTCTCTCCCCCTTTTTCCCACCAGAGCCACAAATCCAGCATTTAAAGAGGTGTTATCACGGATAGAGTCCCATGCAGATTGCCGGAATTTACCGATGATCTCTTTCCTCATTCTTCCCATGCAGAGAGTTACTCGTCTTCCCTTACTGATGGATGTGAGAACAGAGTTATTTTTCTGTTTTTCCTTGATGCATGTTCTTTTAATGCTAGCGTTCTTTCCTACTCAATTCCTAGTTTGTTCCAGTCTCTTCACGTCTTCTTACTTACACCAGGTACAGGGCTGTAGATGCTGGTCTATTGATAATGAAGTACTGTAGCATTTGTTCGCTTACTGTGACCAGTACCCCCTGCTCCTAACCCCTCATTCAAAAACTAAATATTTAGACATTCTAATAGAAAAATTATTAAGGGTCAAAACGATTCTGAAACCAAGGAGGAACCTAGTACAGAAATTGTATATAGTGTTAGGATTAAAATTAATTTTTAATTAAAAAATTAAAAGTTTAAAAAACAAGACTTCCTATCTAGATTAGGTATGGGTTCTTTTGCAGTAAATACTTAATTTCAGAAACAGAGTCGTTAAGACCCTCAGTTAAGAGGGTCACAGTGTAACCCTGAAGAATGAACTCCGTTCTCAAGGGCACGGGAGCTATTCGTGAGTGGAGCAGTATTGATACACTCGGTTTCCCACCAGCATGTTACACTGTGAGATGTTTCCTTCCTGTGCAAGTTACTGGGTGACTTAGGAAGTGTGATGAAGTGCAACTGAGTATTTGTGAAGCAAAGTTCACACCAAGTTTCGTGGTATTTCAGTTAAGATGCTAGAACTGAATTTATGAGCTGGACCACCAGCAATAGTGCAGATTAAAATCCAGGCTCGGATTCTAGCATTGGTAGGATCCAGAAATGGGACTAATAATTTTGTTCTCCTATATATTTGCAAATTGTGCACTGATTAATTGATTGATCATCTGGATAGTTACTTCGTTCGTGGACATTGAATACTCTCTTCTCTGCAGTACATTTCTACGTTAAAAAAATGGAATAATAATCCAATATTACTTTCGTGTGTCACTAGGTGTGCCTTCCCCTTCTTGGTTTTTTTCTTTTTTTCGGCTCCTTCCCCTCTTCAGCTAAAAGAATCTAAACAAGCAAACCAAGCATTTTATTTTCCACTGTTTCAATATTGTTTGTTTGTTTTTCTTGGAGATGGTTGTGTAAACCTTATATTGAGAATTCAGAGTGAATTCAATTTTTAAGGTTTCAGTACCAGAAATACGGCTCCAACTACAGTCAGAGAGGAGGGAATATAATTAAACCAATACTAATTTAACGTAAAATATTTTCTGATGTTTTTGTTTCTCAATCAAAGAAGTGATTTAACAGGTCTGTCATTGATTCAAAATGCCTGTTGCTAATAGGACTTAGAGGTAAAGACAAACTCATGAGAACAAACTTTGTCAATAGATATAACTCTCGTGTAACTCATGGATTGGTTTTACTTCTCATTACTTTCCAGCGCTTCCTCTGTTTGGATGCTGCAGCTGTCTTCCCTTCCATGTGCTTTCTTGTTTTAATAAAATAATACTGTTATGTATATTTTTCCATGGTACACATAACAGTGTAGCCTTAAGAGCCTTTTCTATTAATCGTTTGGAAATACTTACCTTCCACAAAGAGGTCAGACAGAGTAATCTGGTACAGTTTTCTTATTGCAAGTACAGTTATACATAAACGAGTATTTCAGCTTCCAGGAAAAGCTTAACATGGTACTTGAAACAGGAAGAATCTGATTATGTATGGCTGCAATGGAATTTCGTTGTGATTTGTAGAAAGTTAGAGACAAGACGGCAGAAACTTTCCCTTTCCTGGAAGGATATGGCCTGCCTCCTCCACCATGTTGCCATCTTGGCCAAGAGGTGCAAAACATCACTTTGCTCCAAAAAGCTTTCAAGGGAGGCATTCCTTAGTGTCAGGAAGCACTCTGAAGAAGTGATTTAGTGTTCTCTCATTTATCCCAGTCCACAGCTGACTTCACCTCTTTGATTTCAATTAATATGTATGTAAAATTCTGTATTTGTTACAGTCTGTGCTTCTTAGTCCTCTGAAGTAACTGACATTTTATTTCAGACTATTTGTCAGAAAACTCCTAAGGATTCACCAAAATATGAGAACTGCAAGCAAGCTCTGAAAGAAGTGAGCAAGGTGTGTTCTTAGAAGTTTAATACGGATGCTTTGACTATTTTCCTTCCTAAATTGCACCACATGCCTAAATTGCACGGCATGCTTTTGTCATTTCAAAAATCCACTGAGAGAAGTGGCTGCTTTTGGTTTTTGTTAGTCACCTGAGAATTAATTTTCATGTTCACTACATATTTTGTTCACCTGTTTCATTGTGTAGTTGGACAAATTTATTCTGTTTGCTGCCAGTCATTCCAACAGAAAGCCATATGGTGGACCAGACATATAAAAAAACCCAAAACACTGTCCTGATAGTAGAGAAAAGAAAGTCTGAATCTTCTAAGCAAACTTAAGCATTCTTTCTGCTTTTATTTTAAGTTAACCAGACCACCTTCTGTCAGTTGCTCAAAGTTGTTCTCTTCTCCTGTAGTAATGCTTTTTTTCCCAAGAATCAATGACGGAAGAAGAGCACAAGTCCATTTCCATGCACAGATTGTGAATTTCAACAGCACTTACTTGTATAATAAATTCCGGGTCCTTCCATTTGAACCTGAGCAATCATATTACCAATTTTTTTAAATTGGTGGGAAATTCCAATCCATTTGTTTAATATATTTATATTTATATTCTGGAAATAGACAATTCTTTAAAACAGAACATTATGGTATGAAAAGAAAATCTAAGGATCTAAGGATCTGGCTATTTTTTTGTCTCCAAGATCTCAGAATTTCAGAAACTATAGTGCATCGTAGACTCTTGTGAAATGTGAAGTACTGGGCATTCTTTATTAAAAAAAAAAGTCTTTCTCTGCACATTGGGGCTAGACATTACCTTGGGCCTTGAGCATTCTTGACTACTTTAGGGGAAAAATTCATGTTTTCCATGCATAAATAGTGCAAACAGGAAGAGTACTAAAGGATAAAAACTCTAAATTGTTTTATTTAAGAAAGGCCATTAGGGATCGTTTTTACGCCTAAATCACTGTCTGTTATTACTTATGAAAATATCCAAAATTTGGCAACACTGTACTGCTGCCAACACAGTTGGGTTTTTCTGTAGGAACAGTATATGGTGCATAAAGTGTTTGATTATGAAAGGAGAAAAGGCCCGTTGACAGTTGGGAAATCCGTGCGTGATGTTGCGGGGTTAAGGGGAATGCATTTTCACGCCTTTCTGTCTTTGCCCCCCGTTTTTATGTGCTCCCCACCCCATGTGCAGGCTTCAATAAAATTGTAGCATGCTTTAAAATTGCATTCTAACGGTCAGCTGCAATGAAACTTTTTGTAGGGTAGTGTTTGCCTTAGTTTAACAAGACGGTACTGTAACGTTTGTGTTGGGACCCTCTTCTGTGAATGAGCTGGGTGTGCGTAGCAGACATGGCAGCATGTTGCACTGATGTGTCAGTCCTGAAGGTTGTTTATTTTGGAGCCGATCATTGGATCATAACCCTTCTCAGTCAGAACTTCTGGCCAAACCTTTGTACTGTCTGGACTCCCCTGAAGAATAAATAATTATCATAGTATGATAGGATAATTCAGGTTGAGGGGGATCTCAGGAGGTCATCCAGTCTTGCCTCAAAGCGGAATTGGCTGCCAACTCAGACCAGGTCACTCAGGGCTGTGTTCAGTCTGGTTTTGAAAACATTGTGTCTGTGACCCAGCATGAAAACATCAGTTCCTTTGTAAATTTTAAGCTTCCTCAGCAGTGCATTTTATAAAGTAACAAGAGTTTATTACAAGTCTTGAGTACATTAAACCTGTTAAATAAATGTCTTGTTTCTAGCTGGTGCGTTTATGCAACGAAGGTGCTCGGAAAATGGAAAGGACAGAAATGATGTACACAATTAACTCCCAACTGGAATTTAAAATCAAGGTATGATGTTGATATTTCTGACCATAAATCATTTAGCATATGAATAGCTTTGTGTACATGTTAAGTTTTGATAGGTTCATTGCCAGCATAAACAAAGTAAATTAGTGTAGGCTGTAATATTGACATGACTTTTCGGTCAAGGAAGACAAGTTCATATTTTGGGGTAGCTGAAGCCCTGGAAACTCAGAGTAGCTGAGGACTGTTCATCTAACCAAGCAGATTAAGCTTCAGGTTGAGGATTTTCAGGGAAAGATTTAAAAAAGAATAAATTAGCATTAATTACTGAAGAATGAGGTATGTCCAGACTCTGGGTTTGCCTTTGTGGATGAAACCCTGTCCCTGTCGGAGCGACAGTACCTAATAATATCAGTCATGGTACAATTTTATGCTGTTTTACATAATTCATAACAATGTGCATGATGGTCTTGTCACAGTTCACAGAGGCATACATTGCTCTGCCTCTGGGTCCATCCTTCTCGTCATTCATTTCCTCAAGGCTTGTCAGATTTTGAATTGCTTTTTTCTCTCTCTCTTTCCTCTTCACATAAAACAAAAGCAGAAGAATGCACAGCATCATTTCTAATTTGTACAAGAATTGTTGCAGTTCTCCACTGCAAATGGAGGCCATGTCACTGTACACTATACCCAGTACATTAACTGACGAATCTGTTGAAGTCTCTTATAGAATGGGAACTTGTTGGATGGATTAAAGAAATGTTTTTGGGGGAGGTACTGCATTGCGAAGCAGTTCTGTTTCTCACTTCAGCATGTTGTCTGGCAGTGTGTAAACAAGATCTGATAAATTTGATCACGTGTGAATTGACTCTTCTGTGAGCTGTAGATACGTCTGAAGTTTTGCTTAGATTTCTATGCAAAACTGTGTGTTTCCTTAAAGAGTGAATTAGTATTTGTAATTGTTTGATACAGTAAACAGTGGAACTTTAATAGCATCTTCACATCATACACTAATTCTTGCAAGGAAATGATCTATTATGGCAGGATAAAAATTAAAACTTTTGTCAAGTATTTTCATTTTAAGTAGAAGGGTTACGTTATAGCAAAATGGTTTTTTAGCATATATTTAATTAAGTATTCTTTGCTGTAAAGACAAAGTAAGTTGCTGTGAAGATTTTGCCATCAGGAGAGAGGCTGACTACTGCTGCGTGATGATGAGATGTTCTCAGGTACATGACAGGAAAAGTATGCCTGAGTAAAATACTTTTAGGCCAGGGAAGGACTGTAATAGTATTTGACTTATCCTGATTTACAGCAGCACGAAATAAAAAAAACAGGCCTGTTTCCAGTCACCTTGGGACGTGTTTCTTGGAATTACAGTCTATTTCTACAAGATTCTCATAATCGTCAGTTTGAGGAGTCCTCCTTTTTGTGGGAGGTGATTGAGAGCGGGATGACGTTAGGGAGTGCTGCACGCTGCAGAATTCAAGGAGGCAGTGGTGTGAAATGCATCCGCCCAGCTGGCTTTCCCAGCCGCTGGGTGCGTCGGCTCCTGGGTCACACCTGCAGGCAGGAGTCACCCAACTTCGCCTACGACAGCGCATTTGGCAGCGTTGGATGTGTAACCAAAACGGTGTGATACCTGCCTGGGATAGCTAGCTGTGCAACAGCAGACTTCAGTGTAGTTGAAATTACTTGAACTGCACCTTTATTAATACAGTTCACTTTATTAATCCCACGTTTTTGTTTTGCTAGTACAGGTGCTCTTAACCCTCAAACAATTTTAAAGAGTCTTACGATGCTGAGACATTCCAATTTTTTTTCTTTCTAGTACTGAAAATACAATTTAGGCTGTTATTAAAAAAAATCCTCTATGATCAGTCTTTGCGGTAGGAAAAAATAGCGGACATAGTCATAGTTAGTAGGGGTTTTATTGTACTTTCAAGGTATTTCTTCAAGTATATTTACTTTTTTCCTATTCAATGTTTGTTAAAATACCATTTCTATAAATAATGTATCATAGCGTTACGTAATAAGTATTCTTCTGTGAGATTTTTTTTTATTATCATACATGTAGTAAGTAGAGGTTCATGTTTTTAAAAAGACAGTTCTTTAAAGGATCTTGGTCAGTCTTTGAGGAAATGCAGTCTCCAAAAAGATGTTTCTCAACTTGTCTGAAATATTTTTATTTTCGAACTTTGACTAGAAACCGATAACAATAAAAATATTTACTTATAACAACAACAATAAATAAACTACCTCTGGACAAGTGACATCACTATATTTGCTAACAATAGCAATGGATAATAGTGCCAAGTCTTTGGATAGTCTAAAACAGTGTTTTGGATAGTCTGAAGTCCTTGGGCGATCCGCTTTGCAGTTTTATTCATAGTTTTCAAATCTACAGAAGTACCTAACAGTGTTTAAATGCTTAAATTGTTTATAGTCTCTTACTTTCCCCATGGGAAGAGGATGCACACTATTGATCCCGACTCTGCAGGTGCGAGAGGCCCTGTATAATTCGTCCCTGTACATCCTGTAACTAGCAGCTCTCACAAGTTTAATGGGACTAATAGCAACTCTCTGTATTTTGTTTTTCTGTAGTTTTTATGCAAGTGGTTTTTTCCTTTGTGCATCTTAAATATAACCACTTAATGTTTCAGACCTTATCTGTGGTTTGAGAGCTTGCCAGCTGGCGTATAAAAGACTGCTTTGGCCAAGTTTCAATACATTTTAAGTTCTGACAGCTTGTTTTATATAGAAAGGAGATGGTATACATGATGTACCCTTTTGGCAATTAAGGAAAAATTAGTATGAAAGTAAAAAGCTGCCTCTGGAATATAGTCAATTAGGAAAATGTAATGAACTCAGAGGAAGTTTTAGTTCATCATCACATAGAAATTTTTAAAGTACTTTTTGTCTGTAAAACAATCTATAATTCTGTGCTATAATTCTGTGTTATAACCATTATAAATTAGGTAAACTATTTCTGTTCTTGCTCAAACTCATAGCGTGTTTTGGGATTTTTGTTTAACGTTATTATTTTGTTAGATGTAACTGTAGAGCATTTCATGGGAGTACAAGAGAAGCTACTCAAATATCGTGTCACTTTTATACATGGCTAATCTGTAGAATTTAATTTTTAATTAAGATTTGGAAGTTTTTATTCTTAAATTTTTCATCTTTAGCACCAGAAAGGTTTTTTCTGCAAGCACACTTTTGTGTTCATGAAACAAACTTGTTTGTGACTTCTGTGTGGAAAGACCATCTAGTCCAAAGTCTTCCAATTTTGTAGTCACAAAAAGTGCGATGCTGTTGCTGTTAGGGTATGTTCCAATGTTTCACATTCCTGTATTGTCACATGGAACCACTATGGCATTTCAGGAAACATAAAAGCCATTTGTTTAAATAAAAAATGGATTTTCATGTTACTTGAAGGTACTGAACCAGCAGAGTTTTGGTAGAAAGTAAACCAAATTTTTTAAAGCCAAATGTCAACACAAAACTGTCTGTGATTTCAGAGATGGAGCTTGGGAGTTCCTCTGGGAGAGTCCTACCTGAGGACTGAGCTAAACTGGGCTTTCATAACCTGTGAGGTTTAACGATGTGTCTTTAATAAAATGACCACCCATAAGAAAAATGATATGATACAGTCCCAGGAGAAAGTAATAAAGTTGGGTTGATAGAAGTCAAAGTTAGCCACTGATCTGAGACGAGTGACAATATCAGTTCATGAACTTGAAGTTACAGTGATTTGTAACCAGATTGATTTACTCTGATTCACTAACAGAGACTTGGATAAAAATCCGTTTATGAAATACGGATTTGAAACAATATTCTGCATATCCAAATTGGAGAATACAGTAGAAAATGCATTTAATAAACTAATGGGTAATACAAAACTAGAAACCTGCAAAAGAGTCATATAAATCAAAACAGAATATGTGACCTTAGATTAATTGGGAAGAAATGTCCGAAGGGAATTTCGTCAAGATTCAGTACGCTAACACTGTCTTGGTAGCGTGAATGCAAAAATACTAGGAATCGTAGCAGATAAATGAAATATGTTGGTGTTTATCAGTAGTCACTTTGAAAGAATACAGGTTTTGAAAGGTCCCTAATGTAGGTCTGCAGTATAGCAAAGGTTTTGTTCAGTGGATGTCTGTGTTCAAGTACCAGGTGAGGGTGGATATTCATTACTGCTTGTTCTGGGTATATTGGGACATGTATCCATGTGAGGCAAGGTTAAAAGTTTAAGGCTTCTTTAATTTGTAACAATTTGCAATAGTTCCAGATGGCTGCTATGTTTTGCAATTTTGAGCAACCTTCATTTGCCATTAGTACACTTCTCCTAACGGAAAGCATGGGGTAGAGAGTTCTGTGGAAGTTTGATAAGCAGAAAGCCAGTTACATTTGAAGTAGAAACAAAAATTGGATTATTTTGCTTGGGATGAAGAAAAATATATATGCTCCATAAAATTTAGCAGTAAGCACCCATTCACTGCGGCAGGACTTAGGTACAAATATTAGTACGCGTGGGTGTCATGGTTTAACCCTGGCCAGCAACTA